ACATTAATTTATAAGCTTTGCGTCCAATAGGAACGAACTGACATTATAAAGAATTACCTATTGGTTACTTTGTATGAGTTTGTTTTGATATCATTTTGTAGCATTCAATCTATGCCTCATCGGTCGAGTGTTTGCAAATGTTGCTCTAGACTACTCTAAATCAAAGATTTTATGGAATGGGAACAAATAATAAGGAGACGGATCGGACCACCTGGTGGTAAGCAATCAGCGCCGCACATGGACATTTGCAACCTCTGGGGAGGGGAGGGGGGAGGAATAAGATTTCTGTAACCTCATTCACATGGTCTGGAAGTGTGCCCTGTGTATACCATTATCCCACTTCACACAATCACAAAAAGCGCATACATGTAGCATCCACTCTGCCCTTACGCCTTATTTAAAGTACATTAGTATTTCAGTCGAGTATCGAGTATTTAGAGTAGTGCAAACTAGACATTACTCTTGACACGACTATTTTTTGATGAGCTCCATTATTACCCATTACTGCCTCGTTGGCCGAGTGGTCGCAAGTGCGACTGCCGAGCAAGGGGTCTCGGGTTCGATTCCCGGGTCGGGCAAAGTATTACTGGGTTTGTAAAAACCTCATTAGTAGCACGGAGCCTAGAAATGTGCCCGGTATATGGCAATAGGCTCACCCCCTATTACATGGGACTCATAACATAAATAGTGAAAAGTTGGTGTTACATTGTACAGTGGCATTAAGTGCCAAAATGCACCTCTGCCTACCCCTTCGGGGATAAAAGGCGTGATGTTATGTCTATTATCAAACACAGATAACTCCCAGTACCACATTGCACCCATAAACCAAAACCTACCATGTGAATTGACGCGTTAAACACGATATGCATAATATAGCATAATTATAATAAATAATTAACAGAACCCATATATCAGACTGATTGACAAAACAACAAACTAAAGTATTTTACGTCTTCATATATCGACAGTCTCATCTGTTAAAGCAAACATTAATAATTTGAGCTGACGTTTGATTTCCCTTCGCGTTTAGATACAGGCTGTTTCATGATTGTAATTTGGTATAGCAATATTAAGTAAACGCCTTAACTAAGTAATATTAATATTATAAATACAAATAACGGAAAAACTAAAATATTTACACCTTATTTATTTATTTATTGATTTTCAGCCATGATCGTCCCACTGCAGGGCAAAGGCCTCCCTCCCTCCTTCCACTCCTCTCTATGTAAAGCTTTTTTTTTCTTTTATTTACACCTTAAAAAAATAAAATGAAACCTTAAGACATATAAAAAATGTTCCTCATCGCTATCGTGAGGTGTTATTTAACCAATTTAGTGTTTAGATAAAATTAAGGCTTCGATTATATGAATGAATTTGGTATATAGTACACCTATATAATGTATTACTTTAAATGCCTGAAACTATATAATAAATAAATATAGCTTGTAGATAACTAGAAAGCTAGTTGTAGGTGGCTAAGGAGGCGGATTGGAGATGCAGTTAAATACTTTAGGTTATTCAGAGAGCCGCTGCCTTGGCTCTATCCCCTCTTTGGTTTTTTTCCTTAGTAAAGTCTTAGGACGCCTGCAGCTAGGTTAAGGGCGGTGATAGAAGTATTTTAGTCTATCCTTATCTCACGGCAAACTGATCTGCATAAACAAAAATATCAACCAACAATCTCAACAATCCGTATATCTCATTAAAAATCATCGCACAATCAATTAAAGTCCCATAACAATTTCTATAATATACGACAACGTTCCCATATTTGATAATAAACTTTTTTATAATAACAATAATAATTCATTGGTTTAATAATAAATAAAACGGAGTTCATATTAAAACGTCTGTCGGGTATTACATTGAGCTGTAAAAAGTTTTAGTTAATGGTTTGTAATTGGTCGGGATAACATAATTTTTATTGGTATTGTCTCGGCTAGGTAACGATGGAACTTACTATGGAAACTCGAACGAACTCAAAGAGCAATTTGTGTCGTGCCTACTTTCGAAAATGGCCTACAATTGGATATTATGCTCTGTTTAATTGGTCATTATGTATTAACTGCATGATGCAGTTCATTCAGTTCTTGTAATTTAGACTGAAAATTAATTTATATTTATTGTATTTTATCTGATTCTTTCTGATGATATGTCCTTTAATAGATAAGTGACATCGTCTCGGATTTTTTTTATAATTAGTGAGTGTGTGAAGTAAGTCAGTTTCTGGACATTCCTGAATCAACTACCTATTAAAACTGCAACACTTTAAAAAATAAAACTACTACAAAAAAGATTTCTAAATAATCGTGAGACAAATTCTTCGAATACCACACACTTGTGACTCACGGTCGAGTTTGAACATGCGTAAGGGCAAACCTCGCTTCGGGTCAATAAATAAATAAATCTCAAAGCTGCCGTTTTTTAGCTTATTTTTCATTAATATCGTAATTATGTGAGTTAGCATCGAAAACAAACCGCAATTTTGTGGCCAGCCTTAATGGTTTAAGGGTCAATTATAGGCGTTATAATAATAATGGTGAGCGATCTTTAGACTTAATATGCATCCGTGTTAGTCATTCATTTGATTGTGAACCGTTTTATTTAAATGTTGCTTCATTTTTGAAGAGTTCGCTATGTTTTAGGGATGGGGTGTAGGTGATATCTTGTCGATGTCGAGTAATGAAATACTTTCCGTTTTTGTATAATTTAGATTATGAACTCGTCAATTTTTTGTGAATAAATATTGTAAGGCGATGTGAACAATTCTCAAGTGCAATAGAATAGCTCAAAATCTTTCTTGCTTCACAAATTTCTATCACCACCACCAATTAAATAGTTAGACATTTTAATACATTTATTGTTGTTATACAATCACTCATATTTCCAACACCCTCTGTCTGTATAAAGACGTGACATTTCAAATATTGTGTTGTAGTCGATATAAAGGTGAAATTTATTTTGTTCGCGCTCCCTCAGTTGCGAGCCGAATGTGTCGTGTAACATCATTCACGTCTCGATGAGTCGATAGTGAGTGGCTTCGATATCGATAATTTATTTTATATTCGTTATGCACATCACTAATGAGTTGGGTTTGTATGAGTTCGATTTATTTGGCTTGGACAGTGTTTCGACATAATTTTTGAGATCTTACATTCAATATAGAAGTGAGGGGTTTGTCCCAGATGCTTTCTCCTTTATCCTTTTATTTTAATTTCTGTCAACAATTATCTCTTATGGTATTCAGATTTCAGCTTTCAAAGGCATAAAAATGGCATAAAAAAAACTAGAAACCGTTTAACGAGCAGATGGATCTGATGGTAAGCAATCGGCATCGCCCATTGACACCAGGAACACCAGAGGCATTACAAGTGCGTTACTGGCTTTTGGGGATTAGGAGTTTGAGGATCGTTGGGGATTCAGGGATTGGGGAGATTGGGGAAGAGGAGAGTAATTGGGCCTCCGATAACCTCACTCACACGACGAAACACAACGCAAGCGTTGCTTCACGTCGGTTTTCTGTGAGGCCGTGGTATCACTCTCCGGTCTAGCGGGCCCATTTGTGCCGAAGCATGGCTCTCCCACACTTAGAAATAGTTTGAAAGTAATGTCAACTAATAGTGGACAAACCCTGAGCACATGCTATAGGATCCTAAAAGACGTTACAAAGGTGAGGTCAATAAATGGTTACGGTTAATTCTATTTTTTTTATTATCATTAACATCACATTTCTGTTTGAATAATAAATTTTTTTTTTTGAATCAGTTAATAAATATAGGATGTAACTAATTATATTATTAATCATCGTAAACCGTAAGCCATACGAAAATGGTTTTTATCAGGCTTTTAATTGAGTACTTAGACTTTATCTTCATCATATAATTTTATCCCGAAACTGATTTATCTTGCTGACCGTACAAAGATTTCCACGCATATAATATTTCGCGATCGACATGCATTAAGCTGATGTTATCGAAGCATCTGGATTCCATAGCGGCGAAATTATGAATAACGCATCAACTCAAACATGTCTGAATCTGAGGAATTTTAAAATAAAACTAGCTCTTTTGCTGACCGTACTTATGTGTCAAATATTGCTTCACTTAGTTTTTTCTTTTGCTGTAATATTTATTGATGTTTATTTTTTTAATTACAGTTTAAATAACAACGTATAATTAATTTCAAATAATTAAACGACTACAAATAGAAGTCATAGCTTGAGCTTAATTTTAATTACGACACAGTAGTGCCATCTATGTGATAAAAATCACTTTAATAACATTACAACTACTGCCACCTAGTGGAAAAAGAAATAACTTACGAGGCAGCGTCAGCGTCGAGCTTGCATTGAGCTTTTAGTTGCATTGCAGAGGGCGGTTTGCATAATAGTAATTATAGAAATCACTAGATGGCGTAACGTTATCGTATGAGTTTAAGCTATTACAGAATTTTTAAAAGTGACAAAGGAAAGTAAAAGTCTGTCGAAGGCGACAAAAATGATTATTTACTTGTTGAGTACAGGAGACAAGAAAAATAAAACCACAACTATTAAGTATAAAAAAGTTTTAATCTTCCCACAATACTTGCATTTACTACCTACCTATATCTCACCTATCTTACTAAAGTCCACCTTTAATATCACAGCTTGACCGACCATATACACAGACACACCTCGTCTCGGCCGCATATCACATACAATCTTATCTTAAAACAAATACATGAGCAATTTCATATTTAAATAAGTAAAAATAGTTCACAATTTCATTTAAAATTTTAGTAATTTTGAGACTACACCTTAAAACTAGTTTCCATAAATGTCTTCAAGTATTTTTGTTGAGATTGTCATGAATGTTTGTCCAGACCACAAGGACTAATTATAGCAAGTTGACTCTGAATTTGACTCTGAAGTTAATATCCAACTATTTTTAAGATTCTGCCTAACTTATCATTAGATCACAAAAGACATGGTGTTACATTTTCCAACAGAAATAGACGATTAAATTTCACATCCATCCAGATTGTGTTGCTGTTGTCGGAGCAAACCATTCCACCCCACCAAACTTAACAATATGGCACAAAAACTCACTTACACGTATACTGATCGACCTCCTCAACACAAGTATCACATTGCACAAAACAGCAGTTGACCATCCTACATCTGCACCTTGAACTTACAGTTTTCTTATTCGTTATAACGCCCCTACCACAGCATAAAGTCGCACAATTATGTCTGTCCTTACATACCCTGCCTTCAGTACTGACACACAAATTAGGCGTCTTCTGCAAATACAACAAGTTTTTCCTTTCCACCTTCATCCTGTTCCTCACTTTTGGAGTTATCGCTCTTTTCGTCGTATAGTTCATAATTTTCTTTTTTACTGCATGGTGGTAGTGCTTCTTCAAAAGGCCCATGGCTGAGTTAAAAGGTCCCAATCGCTTCCAACATGTCTTCGTGGTACAAGACCCTGAAAATCCATGGCATTTACAAACTTCTTTTAGCTGTTCTCCAATAGAATCGACTCCTACAATGACATCCTGCTTCAATATTTCTGCAATTTGATCGTTACCTGCGTGTTTGAAGTCCAAGAAGTTTTTTGTTAATCTCTTTCCATGTCTGAAGTCGTCTCCACAGCCTGCCATCTTCCATGTATTGTTTTTGCCAAAATTTCCGGGACAGGAGCATGAGGATAGATCCCCAGAGGCACATGCTTTTGCTACTGAATGTGTGATGGAAGCTGCCATCAGAGCATGGACGAACGCTGTTTCTCTGAATAATTTATTGAATATACTCCTTTTTGCCTTTCTATTGAACACGAGGGAGCAATTCCACCTGTCATATTGGAAGGTCTCTTCGCAGGCCGCTATCGCTTGTTCCTTAGCATTAGTCAAAACATTTGCCAATCCTGTATCTCTTTCGCAAATTTTATTTTGCCGTTTCGATGCTCTGATTAGTTTGCAGGGTCCAGGATACATCTCGTTTGATCGGTCAGTGAATAGGGCTTCTATTGTCTTCTGTAAGATCGGCTGAGATCTGTGGAATATAAACGATTTCAGTCAGTGCTTAAACGTGAACTATTTATTTATGAATTGCAATGGTCAGTATTCGCCCGCCCCATTTACAGGCAGAATTTTTTCATGAAACAAGTGTCTTAGCACACAGGGCAGACATTCAGAGGATTTTTTATATCTTCCCAGTTTATAAAGGGACAAAATATAAATTTAATACCATTGCATTTAAGAAAATCATCATTCATTGTTTATTATTTATACGACAAACATAAAAGTCAGTTCCTAACTTTGTAATTACTTAGAAAGCATTGAAGTATGCAAATAAGAAACAAGTTCATTACTGTTCTGTAAAAAGGTTAATTTTCAAAGAACGTTAACGAGTTTCATTAGCACCCTGTTTCAACAAAGGATTGGGTCGGTGGGTGTAACTAATTAAATTACTCATAATACTCTTTAAATAGATTTTTTGTTCTTAAACATTATATTAAGGGCATTTTAGGCTTTTTGGGATTCTCGGTTTAAAAAATCGGTGTAAAAGCAAATGCTAGAGTAGTGCTTAAACAATAGCCTCGCTTCTATTCTGCGAAGTAGACAGAAACTACAGAGCGCTTTAGTATTCTACTCAAAATATATATTTTACTTCACTACAGTATAAAACAAAGTCGCTATCCGCCGTCTGTATGTCCCTATGTATGCTTAGATCTTTAAAACTATTTTGATGCGCGGTTGTTTAATAGATGGAGTGATTCCTAAGGAAGGTTTATATGTATAATACATGCACATTGCACACGTGCGAAGCCGGGCGGGTCGCTAGTTAATATATAAAGCTGAAGACTTTGTTTGATTGAACGCCCTGATCTCCGGAATTGGATAAGTAATTAAGTCCATTTATCGAGGAAGGTTTGGCTAAAAAACATCAAGCCACGAATAATAGGAGTCAAAAAGAGAGAGTGAACCTTGCGAGAGTAGCTAGCAATAAAATAAGTGGCAAAAATTGCTTATGGGACGACGTGCTCCATCGTAGACCGCATCGTCGCTTACCACCAGGCGAGATAGAGGTCAAACGTCGGCCCATCAAATTAAAAAAAAAAAGAATTTACTTGATAGTCATTGGGGCAGTCCCTTGTTCCGCTAAAGACGTCTTATGACTGAAATAACGACTACGATGATGATGTAGATTAACCCTTTGAGTACCGTCATTATAGACACAATTAAAGAACAATAGGTTGCGGTTACCGGTAACCTCGCGGTGTTTGACAGTTTAAAAATAAAGACTCACCCTTCAACAATTTTTGAAGCAAAAATAGAAACGGCACATAACAACAAAACATTAAATACACAGTAACTAAACATGTTTAAGATCTTAACAATCACATGATCACCGTCTTTTGCTATCCACTACAAAATGGTAAAAATGACATGGTACACGAAGTGTGGCGTCGCGTCATTTTATCTTCAAAGGGTGGGTCTTCCGAATATGGCAATGACAAACTAAGAAATCAGTCTGTGTTTGCCTGTTACACAAATATTGACACGAGTCATACTTAACTTGAACTTGTAGTGATGGACTAATTTCCGTCTGCTCTGTTTTATTGGTGAGGATAAAGAGGTCGTTAACTTTAGGTATTGTTTAGATTTAGGTAAGGTTATTTGAATTTGAACTCTATTGGTTAACAATAGAAAGTTGAAGGACGATTTTCCTTTTGTTTATTGAAATGATACTAAGCCGTTGAGAAAATGATATAAACCGTAAACTTATTACTTTTATTCATTTATAATGTACTGTATCGTAAATACTTTGTTTGGAACACCTAACACAATCACAGGTTTTAGCATAAGTAAGTACACACATACACATATCATCACGCCTTTTATCCCCGATATGGTAGGCAGTGGTGCACATTATAGTACTTAATGCCACTGCACAATGTAACATCCACTTTTCACTATTTATGTTATTAGTCTTATGTGATAGAGGGTGAGCCTATTGCCATATACCGGGCACATTTCCAGACTCCGTTCTACTAATAAAAACCCAGTACTTTGCTTGACCCAGGAATCGAACCCGAGACCTTACAGCAGTCGCACTCGCGACCATTCGGTCAATGGGGCATCATAAGTTAGGTTTATTTAAAACCAACTTATTGTTGGTATCATTCATCAAGAAGCTTATTAACCTACTTTTACCATATTTTTCCTTATTATCATCTTCGTAGATTTTAATTATAATTTCATAAGTGTCACAACAGAGTTCCTCTTTTCATCTTTGTTCACGGAACTCCAAAGCATTACTTAAGGTTCATGCTCGGCTTGAGACAGGTTGATTATTTCCGTGCACGCTACCAATTTGCCGGTAGCCGGTAACTTCGCATCTGTGAGTATGCATGTAAAGCAGTCAGTGGTAAGGCGGCGTTGTGAAAACTCGCAAGTATACTTATAATGTTTTGGTTGAGGTCTGATCATCACATGATTACAAGGGGTCTCGGGTTCGATTCCCGGGTCACTCAAAGTATTACTAAGCTTATTTTCAAAAAAATCTCATTAGTAGCATGGCTTCTGGAAATATACCCGGTATCTGGCAATAGGCTCACCCCCTGTTACATGGGAATGAGTCCCATACCCCAACATACCTAAATAGTGAAAAGTGGGTGTTAGATTTGTACAGTAGTAGCACATTATACAGAAATGCACATTACGGCACAAGTGCCGTAATGTGCTTCTCTGCCTACCCGGTCGGAAATAAAAGGCTTGATATTATGCTAAATATATATTTTTCATTTACATTTTATTATCATCAACATCGTTTCATTTGTGTCTACTGCTGGACGTAGTGTAGGTCTCAATATCGCGCTCACGGGAACCCCACTAAGCTAGATGTTCAGTAGTTATTTATTTTCAAGTGATTTTGTTATTATGAATTGTCTTGTGGCCCGGAGGTTAAGACGCCCGCTTCTCATGCACGAGGGTTCGAAACCTACCAACGGCAAGTACCAATGTGACTTTTTCCGACACTGACAAACGGTAAAGGAAAACATCGTGATAAAACCTGGACTTATACTTTCTAATTATAAGTTTGAAATCGCCAACCCGCAATGAGCAAGCGTGGTAATTAATGCTCGAACCTTCTGAGTATGAGAAGAGGCCTTGCTCAGCTGTGGGCACTTGTAGGATATGTTGTGGCTTTATTATTAGAGTTCACAATCGGCTGCATCATCATCATCATAAACAGCCAAAAGACGTCCACTGCTGGACAAAATCCTCCCCCTTAGTAATCATTCGTATACGAGTGTAACATCTTTTATGTACAAAAGGGACCAAACTCCATCAAAGAGCCAGTTTTCTCTTAAACTTAAGAATGCAAATCGATCCCACTATGAAGGACTCCTAACATCGATTATCGATACTGGTTCTAATTCTCAGCTGGCGTATGCAGAATCAGGCATAATGGAATCGACACGTGCCTACCTATGTTCCTAACTAGGTCATTTGCAACAGCATCTGAGCTTAAAAGTACTAAGTTTGTAGAGTTGGAATATGTTTTTCAGAAAGTAAATTGTAATTTAAGGTTATTTTCTTTTTCGATTACTTTGACTACCCCGATTTTAGGGGCATTCCACTTTGTGCACCTAAATGAAGCGCACCCAGACGAAGCGCACCTAAAGTATTCCACTTTGCGCACCTGTAGGTGCGCTTAAAATAAAAATTTTAAATAAATAGTTTTTCTATTCCACGAAGCGCACCTACGAATATCACTCGCATAGTGCGGAGACTAAGAAATAAAAATATCGATATAAGAACATATTTATTATTTAAAAGACTATTTAAATATCTAACATCTGTCAATTTCATTATAATAATGTGACACAATATTGATATTTGTCCATGTTTTTATCGTAATTATGAAACAATCTGTGATTTTAAATACTAAGATAACAAAATCAAAATGACAAATATTGTGTCTGTTGCTTAAGACTGCTGTTAATTAAGACTAGGTATCTAAGTGTCAGATCTGAAGAAACTAATACGCAATATCAAATTGAATTTAAAATATTAGTTTAGACATAAAATCCCATTTACCCCCCTCCCTAGTCCCAACTCCCGAATCCTTGAATCCTCCACAGTCCTCAAATTCCCAATATTCCCAAAAGGCCGGTAACGCACTTGTAACGCCGCGTGTTGGTGTTGGTGTTTCGAGCATCCATGGGCGGCGCCGATTGCTTACCATCAGGTGATACGTCTGCTTGTTTACCGGCTTATACTATAAAAAAATGACAATGCCGAATGATGTTCCACTGTACTGATAAGAATATTCGTACTGACTGATACAGGGTGTAAAAATGCCGAAAGGTATGGTAAAAAACAAGTTTTATTTTTATAAAAGTAATGATTTTTTCAGCGGATTTATTGAGATCGTTCTGTTCTGTATACTTATACTATATCGAGGCTCCCAATGACATCTCAAGACGTATAAGAGCTAAGACAGACTACTTCTTAAACCCAATCAGACTCGAACGCGAAACGGTACAGGGTATAAGCTTAAGTACGTCTATAAACCTGTAACAAGTAAAGCAAGGAACTTTTAGTGCTCAAGTCTAGACTAAACTAAACTTGATTTATAGCAATACAGTTAGAAATACATTCGTTATACTGTTTAGACAACACAGACCGACAGACAGCATCTATATTGTTAATCTTGAACAAAATATTTTAGAAGGTTTTTTATTTTTGTCTGGCGGGGTTTTTAGAAAGGGTTTTTGGTCTAAAATGGTTTGTTTGCATGTAGATATTTGTGTAAAGTTTAACATTCATACAAAAGTGTCTGGGTTGAATCTGGCTTCGCTTCGCTGAGTGCATCTGAGCACTGATTTACATAGATGCTGGGGTTTTGGATATGGTATGATTATTCAAATGGGTTTTTAAGTAACGTTCGAGTTTTTAGATATCTTATTAGTTTGTGGTGTGTT